TGGAATCTAGCTTCTGCTAGGTCAGTATGAAGCATGCAATGACATAATGCCCTCATGCTTTTTTCATTGCTCACCAAACACTAAGCTTTGTTTCAAAAATCTCTTCTAGTTTTCTTGCTTTTTAATGAATGTTAAACTCCTGAACTACAGCTCTTGGTTTAACAAGTGGGATTACTGTAACACGGTAATCTAACCTGCCTTTATTTATTGCAGATGCGTGCCAGGCTTCTAATCTGCTTCCTGCATTGAGGTCTTTAAACTGTTGTCTACCTTCCAGGTATCTTCCAGTTTCTACTTCCTCTCCCTCAGTTCTGTGTGCAATTGTGACAGATTCTACTGTAATAACACTGAAAGCAGTATCATACCATCAATTCAAAGATAGCACATACTTAAAAGAGACTATTTCCTATGAAAAAGGCATTTTTTTCTGAGTCTTTTTCAAGTTTTAAATTGATTTTTTGAAGTAATATAGCCAGAATTTTGCTATGCAGACTCAAATCACAACCGCACTCCAAAGCATCCATTTCAAGATGCACATTAACTTTTAAGGAAATGCCTTGAGACAAAAGTCAATACGTAGTTTGCTTAAAATGAGCCAAGGGCCTGATTCATTTATAACAAAAAGCTCCCAATGACCTTACACAGAAATGGGAGAATTATTATACTCTCTTATATTCTCATTATTACCCTCTTCTATTTCTCCTTAGCAGTAGACATTGGAGGGGCTCTATCTACTCACTCACTGACCCATCTATTGATTCATTCATTCTGTTTTTTCATAAGTAATTTGAAATCATAGCCAATTGGAGAGTGCCTCAGGCCTGATAACGCAGCGAGTATGAAATTAAGTTGAATGAATGAAATTATCCATTTTCAATGACTTTGTATATAAATGATTAGTTTAGTTCAGTGTAATATTACTTAGTTTTCTAAAAGACTAGATTAAAACAAACGGAAGAAATCTATCTCATTGATAGTCTAATTCCCAAACATAATTTTTGTATTTTAGATTTTAACATATCATGAAAGTTAACATTAAGATCACACTATTCTGATCAATATCTCAAATTCCTTAATTTTCATTTCCATGTCTGTTAAATGATGAGGCAAGAACCAGGGAAAAGACAACTTATCAACAAGAACATAAGCTTACATTTAGTATTCATTGGACAGGCTAAGCAGAAAGATGCAAATGAGTAAATTTCAGTTTTTCAAAGATAAAGTATTTTTATTCCTCCTTAGAGATTAGACTGTAATATTTGATGGAAAGGTAATTTCGGGATTGGGAAAGAGGGAGATAGAATGATAAATTAAACCATCAGCTTCTTTTATTCTGAATTACATTATATAAAAATATTCAGATTTCTTAAATATTAGGTTAAACATGATTAAAAATTATCTATTTATACATTTATATGTATTCATACATACTTTTCTCCCCTTGTTTTAGATTATAGAAATCTCCCACTTATTTGGAAAAAAAAATGTCTTGTGCAAGCAACAAAGTGGACGGCCTGCTCCAGAACATGTGGGATGGGAATATCTAATAGGGTAACCAATGAAAACAGCAACTGTGAAATGAGAAAAGAGAAAAGACTGTGTTACATTCAGCCTTGTGACAGCAATATATTAAAGACAATAAAGGTAAAGTTTAAATGGATTTTGTTTTTTTTGAGACAGAGTCTGGCTCTGTCACCCAGGCTAGAGTGTAGTGGTGCAATCTCAGCTCACTGCAACCTTTGCCTCCCGGGTTCAAGTGATTATCCTGCCTCAGCCACCGAGTAGCTGGGATTACTGCTAGGCACCTGCCATAATACCTGGCTAATTTTTATATTTTTGCAGAGATGTGGTTTCACCATGTTGGCCAGGCTAGTCTCGAACTCCTGACCTCAGGTGATCCACCTGCTTTGGCCTCCCAAAGTGCTGGAATTACAGCTGTGAGTCACCATGCCTGGCCAGGTTTAAATGATTTAATTATAACTCAATATAAAGAGAGTCCTGAAAAGCAAGTATGTGTGGGTTTTAGAGGGAGGGATGGTGTTTAGTTTTTACAAAAATAAAATCATCTCATTATAATGCTTAAAGTCAAACTATTTCAGAGGAAAACAGATATTAATCTAACTGCAACTTGTGAGGAAAATATTACTAAATATAGCAGATTCTAACTTTTCTCTCTATTAATGAATAAAAAGACTTTGGTTGTTACCCTATAATTATGAAAACAGATATTATGAACATTAGAGTAGAGAAGTTCTAATCTTAGTTATATATCACTAACTTGGAAGGAGACCACAGTGTTTCCAAAATGCTATATGCTTACATAGCAAACTTGCTAAAGCATTATGAGAAAATATTTACCCTAAGATTGTTTGGTATAACTAGAGCTGGTCCTACTTCTTGAACTAGGCAGGATGTCTGTCTCAAAAAGAGTAATTTTTAGAAATGCTTCCTATCCTCAAGTTATTCTCTATCATATTAGCAAGTTGATGACTCAGTTTTAAAGAGATGAGGATTAAATTATTCATCTATTCATCCACCCAAAACTGGGCTATGTTATGAAAGTTGCTAAGTCTTAGGTAGGTATTTAATAAGACATGGCCCTTGATATTAAACAAAACAGAAATGTCTATTGTGAAACTGAGTAAAGAATAGAGAGCAAAAAACATTGAGCTGTGGGTGTTACAATATGATGGAGTAAGAATAGACAGGACAGACGTCTGGTGAGAAAGGGATCTTAAGGGCAGAGAAAAGAGAGTGCTGGAAATCACTACAGAACAACTTTTATTAATGCCTCCAAATAATTTTATTTGCGCCATAAAATATTCCACATATTTTTCTAAACTATTGTAATAAAATTTAAAGAATTAATTCTTAATTTTATGTATCTTTTCAGATCCCCAAAGGAAAAACATGCCAACCTACTTTCCAACTCTCCAAAGCTGAAAAATTTGTCTTTTCTGGATGCTCAAGTACTCAGAGTTACAAACCCACTTTTTGTGGAATATGCTTGGATAAGAGATGCTGTATCCCTAATAAGTCTAAAATGATTACTGTTCAATTTGATTGCCCAAATGAGGGGTCATTTAAATGGAAGATGCTGTGGATTACATCTTGTGTATGTCAGAGAAACTGCAGAGAACCTGGAGATATATTTTCTGAGCTCAAGATTCTGTAAAAGATTCATCCAAGCTCAAGATTCATCCAAGCAAATGGATGAATAATAGTCAATCCTGTCATATAATAAAAAAATTAGAGTATAAAATGGTGGCAAATCTTTTTGTTTATAACAGTAAGAATGCCTAGCTAACCTCAGATCACTATATTTAAGGCATTAGAAGTTTTTTTAAAAAGTTCTCCTAAAAATATATGTAAAATTTGAAAAACTTAACAATTTAACTCATTTCTAAAATATATCCTATAATTACATAATACAGAGACATCTGGTACCATCTAAGCATTTTGTATATGAAAAAATTACGCAATTTACAAGAAAATATTTTAAAAAAATAATCTGGAATACTTGCTGAAGATGTGTAAAAAAGCATACTAAATTTTAGGCTTGGCGCAGTGGCTCATACCTGTAATCCTAGCACTTTGGTAGGCTGAGGCAGGCGGATCATTTGAGGTCAGGAGTTTGAAACCAGCCTGGCTAACATGGTGAAACCCTGTCTCTAATAAAAAGAAGTACAAAAATTAGCTGGTGTGGTGGTGCATGCCTGTAATCCCAGCTACCTGGGAGGCTGAGGCAGAAGAATCACTTGAGCCCAGGCAGTGGAGGTTGCAGTGAGCTGAAATCACATGTGTTAAACCACTGTGATCTTCACACATGTGTTAAACCACTGCGCTGGCATGGCAGAGTGAGACTCCTTTGGGGGAAAAATAAACAAGCATACTCAATTTAAAAAATTTAATATATATTTGACAATGTAGCCTAGGTGTCCATTAGTTGATAAATCATTATAGAGGCACGTGAGATTCTAGATTAATTCCTGAATAGAAATAAGATTACATTATAAATATATTTATACTTTTCATTGCCTGATGTTGAATATCAGTTTCTTTCGAAAAGGAGAAAATGCAACATTTCCGGCCATTGTTAACAACTACAAACTAAATTTTATATCAAATATTGCAAAAAATTAAATATCCAAGACAAAGACCAAGAACAGTATCATTACTTTGCAAAGAAAAGAAATGTAAAAATAAAACTTAAAATTAGCCCGTGGATCTGAAGTATAAATTGTTATTAAAAATATATTAATGATAAGGCTAGAACTGAAGATTACAGTAACTGGAACAATTACAGCCATTTATTGCAAAATTTGGAAGAAGTTATCAAGCTTAGCAATGTTCTGTTCATTTATATAAATCACACGTGAAACAATAACAAGTAGCACTATTTAAAAATATGAACATTTATTATAAAATCAACAGGTTTGATAAGAAAGCAATTATTTTAAAAGTTTAGGCCAGGTGCGGTGGCTCACACCTGTAATCCCAGCACTTTAGGAGGCCAAGGTGGGCAGATCACGGGGTCAGGAGTTCGAGATGAACCTGACCAACACGGTAAAACCCCATTTCTACTTAAAAAAAAAAAATACAAAAATTAGCCGGGCATTGTGGGGCATGCCTGTAATCTCAGCTACTCAGGGGGCTGAGGCAGGAGAATCACTTGAACCCAGGAGGTGGAGGTTGCAGTGAACCGAGATTGGACTACTGAACTCCAGCCTGGGCGACAGAGTGAGACTCTGTCTCAAAAAAAAAAAAAAAAAAAAAAGTTTAATGCAAATAAATTTTAAGTGTACAAATTACGATCCTTTTGAGCAAACCAGTTGTTATCTAAAGAAGAAACAAAACCTCCTTAACAGTTGTAATAAAACCTATGCCTGAAAAGTTAGTGGATATTACACGGAAATATTTATATTGTATTCTTCTACTCCCAGTAAACTACTTATATGGACTCAGGAGGACTTAAATAGAATATTAAGATATAAATCATAAATACTTACGAAAAATATATCTGTACAAGATTTTTATTGAAGACATAATTATCAGTGCATAAATGCCTAAATATGAGGATATAAATACAGCAAAATATTCAAGAACTCTGTTCTTTCAATTTTAGAAAAAGGGACTTTGCTGAAGAGAAATGTTTGAAGTTAAGGTACTAGGATTTCACTAATTGCACATATTGGTATTACCAACAAACTGTGATTAAACAGAACTCACTCTTTTAGACAAAAATATTTCCTGAAAATATGAAAAAAAAAAAAACCAAAACAAAACAAACAAAAAAACAACCTGCACTTTCCGAATCACAAAAATGCTGAAACAGGTCAGAAAAAACAATGTGAGATTAAGAAAGTATTTTTGGGGTTTTCTTATTTACACAGCTATGCTTAGTCTGGGTAAATCTTGCACAGGCATGTTTTTTGTGGCATCCAGTTGGTTATATTCCTGTATGAGTGCTGATAAAGATGACACAGCTTCTGTGAAACAGCTTTCTTCCATCCCTTCAACTTGTAGATAGTGATGAAGGTGAGCCTATAAATTAAAAAATTTGGTAACACTTACCATTTCAGGAACTTTAATACCTACAACTATCGTATAAGGCAATTATTCCTTATTAAAATTAGAGTTCATTCAGCTCTACATTTGAAAGAGAACTTGTGTCAAATTAAATAAATCCTATAAACTCATGAAATTTCTCATTTAGAGTAAAAATAGTACAAGTAAGCCTCTCCTCTTTATTAATAATTAGTACAACAAACATAATAGAAAAGATCACCCTGATTTGTAATAGTGTAATTCTTAAGAAAATATCTTAAATAGTCAAAATTAACACACACAGTTACAAAGGGGTATGATAATTACCTTTTTCTTATAGAGCCTCATGAATCTCTCCTTCAGTTCCACGAAGGTGGGCTTCACACATGTGTTATTTGCTAAAGCTAATAATGAATGAGAATGGCCCACAGGAGGTATGGAACACAGGCTGGTCTTCCAGCCTTCTTGATTCCAGGAGACAAATTGTAGAGATGGTTTTAATCTGAGATTAAAACAAACAAACAAACAAACAACACACACAGCTCAAAGGTAAGAACTAAGGCACTAAAAATGTCTGCCTTATTATTGCAGCTTATATTAGTTAAACTAGAACATTATGGATGGTATCATTCTAATTTCTTAGTTTACAAGCTAAGTTATCTATTTTTTACCATTGGGAGTAACACAGTATAGTCTGATAGTGAACTAAGAGACCTTTAATAGGGGAACATTAAATTGACTGTGATGGTGATTGAAGAAGCTAGAAACTCAATCCTTAAGATGAGAATTTAGGGATACAAAGAAAAGAAGTTATTATCTTCCTTACTTTGTAATTCAACCGAGTAGTTTTTTTATGCATAGAATTAAATAGTAAAACAAAAATCAGAAGCAGCAGTAGCAGTAATAGTGCCGGTGACAGCAGTAATAAAAATAATTATCAGCCACAATTTTCTGAACACTCATAAAATAAAACATCTCATATATCATTTAATACTCCTAAATAAAAACTATGTACTATTATTATCCTTATTTTATACTTGAAAAAAACAAGGCACAAAGAGACTAAGTAGTTTGTTCAAGGTCACACTTTAGTAAGTGGCATTGCTAGAATTTGAAGAGCAGATGTTAACTACTATGTCACATTGTCCCAAGCAGCACACACAAATTATCTTTAAAAATATAAAGCAGACCTTTCAATATTTCTGCGAAGATCTGAAATTTGTACACTTCCTCTCACCATGAGTGCACAGGCGAGGTAAAGACTGTGTTTGGGGTCTGCCCGAAGCAGCTGGTGATCTTTACTAAAAGCATCTGAAAACATCTGATCCAATCTGCAACAATGAAAGAGTCATTGTCTATATAAAATATTACTTGTTTCTTCTATGTGTAACTATAAAATGAAGACAGTCCTCTATAAGTAAATAAACCACACTATTATAGTAACAAAATATTAAATTATATATATTCTAAAAATATTAAATAGCTATAATTTTCTTGAAGCAATCTTGATGATAAATATGAGAAGGGAAAAATAACATATTTTCTTCTTTCTGGGGGAGAAAAGCTTCTGCAGTATATTGGTGATCTCAGGTAGCTAAAAAATGTTGACTGTATCGTTACTGAACTCTGTAGTACTGATTTTTGAAACTTGTATCATTATTACTTAGTTCAGTATACCTTATTTCATAGTATCCAAATTATAAAAAGTAATTAAAAGCCTGTAACATTAAGACTATTACTTTGTAAAGTACATTATATCATAAATTAATTAACAGAAGGAAATTATCAAAGGACAATGTGAAGCTCTCCTATAAAAGATGAAACTCCATAGCAGTGCTCCTAAAAGCAGAGACTTTTAACTGAAGGCTAAAAGACAAAAGAAAATAAAGGTGACTGACAAAGTTTATATCTAACAATACACAGACTCCTATGCTAGCCTGATGGCAATGGACATTTAATGATCACCATGTTGCATACACCGTGTATGGTACTTGTTAAGGTCATCAGCATCCGACGCAGAAAGGGAATTCTATCTATTAGTTGGCAAAGCGGTCATTTGCTGTTGGCTTAAATAAAAACTTACTAATATCACTTGTGACATTCCTGAAGTATAGAATTATCTTGTCAAAACTTAAATTATAAAAAAGAATCTTTAATTTAGTTTGCTTTAAAATTTTTTTTTTAATTATTTTTAATCTGTTTTAGAGACAGGGTCTTGCTTTGTTGCCCAGGCTGGAGAGCAGTGTCACAATCATAGCTCACTGCAGCCTCAAACTCCTGGGTTCAAGTGATCCTCCCACCTCAGGCTCCTCTGTACAGGTGCACACCACCATGTCTGGCTAGTTAAAAAATTTTTCTTTTTGTAGAGACAGGGTCTCAGTATGTTGCCCTAGCTGGTCTTGAACTCCTGGGCTCAAGTGGTCTTCCCATCTTGTCCTTTCAAAGTGTTGGGATTACAGGTGTGAGCCACTGCACTCAGCAACTTAGTTTTCACTTTCTTATTTACATACTGTCCCCTTACAGAGCTTGGCAAGACCTTTTCCCTCAGTCAACTGTGAATGTCACTGTGAATTTTTCAATCTCATCATCAATGTATATGCTAAGAGTATCTTTCAAAACTATATTTTTTTTTGTTAAATATACTGATGAAATCTTTATGCTTAACAATGACACACAGTTATAAAGCAAGGTGTTCTGGAAAACATACAGAATTACATCTGAAATCCTTCTATGGTGCTGGGCTGTGATAGTAGCTTTAAAACAAACTCTCATTTAATCTAACCAATAAATATATGAGGTAAGTACTGTTTCATTTTTACAGATGAGAAAAACTGAGAAAGTTGAAGTCACTTGCCCAAGGTCCTGTAGCTAGTAAGTGACAATTAGGATTCAAATGTTGTTTGCCAGACTTCAAAGCACTTTTCATAAGCCTACAAATTTAATCATTAGTTTTAAGTTCAAATAGTTTAATACGGGTATTTTTCAACAATTACTTCTAAAGAAACATTCATCTAATGGGAAAATGGCTGTGATTAACTGCATTTTATGTACTTCTCATGGATAAGATGATACAATGAAATAACTAGAGTTACTGCAAACTTTTTTCTCTTAAAAATGTTTTTTAAAGTAATTTGAGGTCTCAAAAAATGGAAACAAAGTTACACCTTACCTTCTAGGAGGAACGTTAACATCTGCCAGTGTATATAGAGGTGTTAGGCTTGACACCAGATAATGAAGCTGGGGAAAAGGAACTAAATTCATGCTGATTTCATTAAGGTCCATATTAAGGGACCCTTCAAATCTTGCAGAGCTAAAAAGTTAACATTAAAATAATGAGAAAATTTTTAATTTTAAAATTATACACTTCAAATGTAGCTTGATTTATTCAGCAGGTGGTTTCTCAAATTCTTTTGTAAACTGTTTTTCAGTGCAAACATGTTTTTCTTCCATATAGTGAAATTTAGTATCATGAACAATCATGTATAAAGTAAAATATAACACACAACATCTATAGTAATTTTTCTTTCTTTTTTTTGGAGACAAGGTCTCACTCTGGTTGCCCAGGCTGGAGTGCAGTGGTGTGATCTTGGCTGACTGTAACCACCACCTCCCAGCTCAGCCTCCTGAGCAGCTGAGACTACAGAAGGTGTATACCACCATGCTTGGCTAACTTTTGTATTTTCTATAGAGATGGGGTTTCACCATGTGCTCCAGGCTTGTCTTGAGCTCCTGGGCTCAAGACCTGTATTTTATATACTTGAGCCTTGGCCTCCCAATGTGCTGAGATTATAGGCATGAGGCACCATGTCTGGCCCTACACTAATTCTTGTTTCTGGATTACCTAAAATGTAACCAATATACTATTATAGTTGCTCATTACACATATAAAAATATCCTATTTAAAACAAACTTTATATTTGAGTTAAAAACATATAGGTCAATAATTATTATAGAAACAACTAAATCCCTTGAGGGTCTATAATCTAGAATATAATAATGGCAAAGCAATCTCTGATACCAAAAGCCACAGAAATCTTTTGGACCTGCTAATGAGGAGGTAAAATTAGTTGATTAAAATGATTAGGACATTCTACAGCTGCAAAATGTTTAATTTTGTCTAAGTGTTTTGTATCAACTACAAAATCTTTTACATTATATAATACCTATTAATATTGCATGCAACATACTTGGTGAAATGCTGCTTTGGAGTTAAAGGAATTAAAATTCTGCTTGATCACTCCAAGAAGAGAAAACACAAGACAAAATAAAAACAGAAGCAGCTCCTATAATTTAGAATAACTAAAAAATGCTACTACAAAAATTAAAAATATCACCCAAAGCACAATAAATGTTTTTGACTATCTCTGGATAGAATTACCTTGTTAGGCTGAGCAGCAGATTTGCCACAATGTTGTTCATTGCATCAAAGGGCTTCTTATAACACTTTTTTAAAGCCCCAGAACTTGAAGTAACCAGACTCTTTGGCTTCACAGTTGTACCCAACTTTCCAGAATTCACCATGAGGTCAATTTTGCTAATGATGTCAAATAAAGACTTTTGAGGGAAAAACATTGGGAGAGAAGCTATTAAGAAGAGGGGATGTAGATGACAGTCCACTAGGAAAGAGAAAGAAAAGCAATTTAAATTGATGTTTTCTCTGAGATATGAAGGTTGAAAAGTGAAGAGAAGGTTTCATATGAACACATATACATAATACAGGACTAATATATATAAAATTTATCCAAAGTTCCAATGTAATTTCTTACTTGATTGTCAATGGGCAACACACAGTCTGCATGCTCATTAAGTTCCTTCATTGCCAAGATGCTATTATAAGGTGAGGTTATGACATCATCCTCATCAGAAGGATAAATGGAAGTTACAAATCTGTATACTTCTGGGAATTCATCTTCAAGCATCTTTAAAAGAAAGGTGCCAAGTCCAGAGCCTGTTCCTGAGGATTAAAATATTTTTTAAAATTAGCATAAATGATTCAGAATATAATTGTGAGGAATTTGAAACTTTATTTTTTTTTGAGACAGGGTCTGCTCTGTCACCCAGGCTGGAGTACAGCAGCATAATCACAGTTCAATGCAGCCTTGACCTCCTGGGCTCAAATGATCCTCCCGCTTTCAGCCTCCCAAGTATCTGGAACCGCAGGGATGTGCCACCATGCCTGGCTAACTTTTTAATTTGTGTAGAGACAGGGTCTCCCTATGTTGCCCAGGCTGGTCTTGAACTCCTAGGTTCAAGCAATCTGCTGCCCTGGCCTCTCAAAGTTCTGGAATTAACAGGCATGAGCCACCACACCCTGCCAGAATTTTGTATTTGTAAAAATAATTTTCAACTTATTTCTGTTATTATATAGTAACGAATCTAATTTTGGATAAGGAAATGAAGGCAATATTCAGGAAATGAAGTCCTGAATGCCACCTCTGACTCTGACAGTGAGTTTGGGAGGGCCGTGTATATTTTACTCCTTTTCATATTTAAGTTATAGCTACATAATGTCACAAGAACCGATTGTACATGCACACGTAAAAAATTCAACTATGACAATATTCAGTCTACACTTGATATTAAGCAATTTAAGAAAACTAACTGGACAGCTTTATTGCAGTATCTATATAATCTTAACAAGGAAAACTATTATGTCATGAAGCAACTTAAATACTCAGTTAAAATTGTTTACAATTAAGCACATTGACCTCAAATTTCAAAAATTTTCAAATATGAAACATTACTTATTTAAAAGCAGAAACTCTGGGAATCTCATTAAAGATAATTTTCTGACACATAAAGTTATATTTACATAAATTCAGAAAATTTTCAGAACTTAAAACTGGAATCCTCTAATCTGGTTGTTTTTCAAACTGAGTTGTGAACTATTAGGGGGCTATGAAACTAATAAATAGATTAATACCACTGAGACAAGAAAGGTTTGAAGGTAGTTAAAGGGGACTGATATCCTTTGGTAAGCACACATTATGAACATGTCAGAAATGCTTCACTCTAGGAAACAGGACTGTATAGGCAAACTCTGAGGAGAAAGTCAGCATTCCTCAAAAGCTCATACATCCTTAAAAGTAGCTGAATGTTCTGTAAGAAACTAAAGGTAAAAAAAAAAAACTTTCCAATATAGTTCTGTTGACTCTTAAGAGGGTTTACATTAACAAAAACAAACAAAAAAAAGAAAATAGTGACATAATTCCACAACATTTTAAGATAAAAAGGTGTATGTTTATATGCTCAAACCATACACACTCTGAATAGTTCCATCTTTAGCAAGAACAGGTCTAAAAACAAGACTTATGTTTGCAAAATGAATTCCCACCAATGTTACAGGCAAATGAATGAAAAATTTTACCTCCTCCCATGGAATGTATTATAAAGAAACACTGCAAGCAATCACAGTGCTCTGCTGTCTTTCTTAGTTTCTCTAAAATCTGGTCTCGGTAAAGACTGCCGAAAACTTTGTGACCCACAGCCCTGAAAATAAAAATATAGATTAAAAAAAAAATCCTTGCATGTATTGTTTTTCGATTTTATTAGTTCTAATCTAAATAAAAGGATTTTAAACAAATTTGAAAAGTATTTTTATTGAACTAAGTAAAAATCTATTCTTGTTACCTGTAAATAAATCATACAATATCCTGAAGATACTAGATGGAAAACTGAACAAATATTCAGTATCTCTAATCCTCAAATATCTGGATAAGTAAGCTCATCAGTAATGAATATTAAACTATGATTTTCTAAATTTACCTTCTCAACCTTTCTCTTAAGGTACAATTCCAACAAAATAAGATTTCACTTACATAATTTTTCTTCTCTCCATTTAAGGTCATTTCTGAATTGTAGTGGATTTTACATATTAAAAAGCAAAATGTGGCAAACTACAGAGACATTGAAAATAAAAAATTTTCAACAAACCTATTCTGGTTTCATACATGAGAAAAAAATGGTCACATCATGTTATTAGATAAAATGGCATAGAGTAGAAATTGATATTCATGCAGCTCTTCTAGTCTTTTCAGTTGTCCAAATTTGCAAATATCACTATTATGAATTAAAACAAAGTATTTTCCCATAACACGCAGTCAGGTATAACTCAAAAGCTACACATAAGTTACCCAACAATTAGGGAAAATGCAGTTAGCGGGTCAGGTGGGCTCATTTACTAAGTGACTGGTTCTCCCCAGGTAAGTCTCTGGGAACACAAGATTCAAATTTATGCTTTAGTAAAATTATACATCATTCCACATTATGTACCTGGGGGACTGGCTGCAAATAGTGAAAATAATGAGTATGAGAGATTTGCAAATAACAGGGAGCTACTTACTTTCTAACAAACAGCCAAACAGTCTCAATGTGAATTCCCAAGTGATTACTGTTGAAGCTCCCCCACCTCCCACACACACATTATACAATCAAGGGTAAAAACAGCCTCAGGCTCAGCTTGAATGCTAGGATATTGGTCTGGCTTGCATCTGTATCAATTCTGTTATAGCTGACCAATTGGATAACTTGAGAGCCAGTCAAATAATAAAGATAAGAGTTTATGACAGTACTTAAAACATTTGTCACTATTTAGCATTCTTCAAGAATCAATTTATAAAAAGGAATTCAGCAAATTAATTTTTCATAATTCGTCTTTTTCTTTTAAAAAGTTAGAAGAAATTAGGAGTAAATATAGGTGGCTGCCAAGCATTAAAACACCACCATTTTATTAAGGTGGTGGGCTTAAAGGCCTGTGGCAAATTGCATCTTACTTCATATCAGCAGAATCTCAGAATGAAGGAAAGATTGCTCATTTTTTTTTTCAGAAGACATTCAATTTTTACACTGTGTATTCTCACCAATTATTTCCTGAGCCAGAAATATCAGTGATGAGCTGATTTGTATCAAATACATCTCTCAGTGGTCCCTGCAGAATTTCATTCACTACCCCTTCCTCCATATCAATCAAAACAGCCTGAGAAAGAAAAATAAAATCCAATTAGTGCATTTTCCTTTTAGAGTTATTCACTCTGTAAATGAAAAGAATTTATGCACTGAATATTGCACTGCTCTCTTTAAGCTTAATTAAAAACTTCACGTAGAATCTATTGTAAAAATTAAAAAAGAATTTCACTCTGTTTGAAAGTTGGAATCCAATTAAAAAATGAATTCTAAATTCTTTTATTCTATTCCAAAATGCCTAGTGGGGGGAAAAAGACCCAAGGATAATCCCCTCAATGAATTTTTAACAAGGTTTCAGAAATTTAGAAGGCAACCTTAACCACAGTAAGTTCTCAAAAAATATAGGATGCATTAATGTATTTGCATACTGCGAACAATCATGCTGTTCTTTATGAACCACAGCCCAAAACTGTCCAATCTGAATGAGTAAATTTACCATTATGTGCAAAGCAAAGACACTGGATAGATGTCAAAAACGACAACATGGTCCCTTCCCCTAAATAATTCAAAATCTAATTCTTAGCTGACATGATCAAAAAACCCATACTCCTAAGAAGAAATGAGAACATAAAACACAAAATTAATTATAAGAAAGAAAAAAAGATGAAAGAAATACAGTATAGTAAAACGTAAAGGAGGGCTGGCTTGGCGGTAGGATTATTATGTCCCGCCCTCCTACTTCCCTATAGTTTCCATATTTTCTACAGTGAGGAACAAGAGTGAAAAAGTAAACTAAATAGAGTTAAATAAAAAAGCAAAACTGAAACAAATTCTGAAATAACCTTAGGGTACACTAAAAAATGATTTGTTAAATCTTTGTTTCAATGTCACAGAGGGAATGCTTGGTTCATGGCGTTTAGTTCTGTGACCATACAACATTAAGCAGTGAATTTAATCATTTGTGTAATTAACCATGCTACTTTAAGATATACAAATAATATAGCAGTATATCATAAAGACTATAAAACTATGTCTTATAAATGTGCTCCTTTATATACAGCAACCATATTCATCCACACGACTGTGTCCTTTTCACACACAGGACTGTATAGGATTATGTTTGGCAATGCTAGGTATTTTCAAGGATATTTCTGACAATATGCAATTTTGACTTCAAGTGCTGATTTTAACACCTAAATCAACCAAAGAGTGACTTCACTGTACGGGTAAATTGTAGTACAAGTTGTAAGATTAAAAAAGAAAAATAAATTAGGTTATACTGGTCTCATTCCAAGATAGATTTATGGAGGTATGTGGAAGATTAAATGTACATAAATCACACTCTCAATTACTATACTATCTGGCAAGGGAAGCAATACGCAAATACAAACTGATATTCAGGTACCTCCTGAAATGAGTTTTGATATAATCAACACTGTCCTAGTCACTTAACATTAAAATCCTGACATAACTCTTCCAGACCTTCCTTAGTTATATCAGGTCCTTGGTTTTTCCTTTGGAAATTAAACTAAACTTTGGGAGAGTATTTTGGGTTCTTCACTTAGATATCTAAGGTCTGGAGACACAACTGTTCCAGGATTTGATGTCTGCACTTCCTTTCAGAGCCATCTGGCTTTCCCCTGAGTATAACATAGGATTTACAAAATTCTGAGTATTTATTAACCTAAGAAACTGAACACAATGGAAGAATCCAAGCACCAAGTTATCTTGTGAAGCCTGGACTCTTCAGTGATCACAATCACGTAACACCAAGAGCTCCTAAGGAGAAAATGGAAGAGTACCTTCTCAGAAAAAAAGTCAAAGGCTACAAGAACACACTGATTCATTTTTTCCTAGTAGTGTTTCCTCCACCTCTCAATCTGCTCACTGAAAAGATTCAATTGGGAGTAGTCTAGGAAATGTCAGTCTCTTTTTCTCCAAGATTTGTATTGGGATATCAGTTCTCTCTACATCATGAAGTATACTGTGTTAATCAATTAACATAACAGCCTGCAAGCACATAATTTTTGCCCTAAATTTTGTTTTCCAAGGACATCAGAGATCACAGATACAAGGAGATGATTCCCCGATGTCACAAAACTATTGCACACTAGTCTTATAGCTACTACACCAGGTCTGATCTTTAGCACTACAATTCCTTCCATAACATTTACACTTCCTTTTCTGTTAAAGATCACTGATTAAAAATCAGAAAAAGTAGTTTCAAAGAAACAATCACAGAAATATTGTTGGAATGATTAAGACTGTAAATAAGACTGTAAATATGGGCTATGAACCTGAAGTAGTTGGTTCAAGAGAACTTACAGGGTTAATGGTTTTTATTGACTACGATGTGGCTGATTCCATGTTTTATATTGGTAGTAACCTTGATGCAAATAAATCTTCCAATATATTCAAATTAAACATTAAACTACTCCTTTTGTTTTCATTTATCTAGACACTATTTCTTCTGAAAAAAGGCTACAGTGTTTTTAGGTATGGACTCTTCTCCCTAATGTGTTAAGCGGGCACAAATGTCTGCTTAGTTATATTTCTATTAAACATGGCTTAGTAACTTTTTTCTACTTTGAAAAGTTTAGTTTCATTCTCATGACCGTTACTGAGAACAGTTATTTAAAAGAATACATGCAATGTAAGAATCCAAGCATATATGTATCTTACTCGTGCTTTTAAAGAACATATTTTTCCCTTGGAAATACTTCCACCATCACCAACCACTCTGAAAGATAAAAAAATGAGAAAAGGTCATAAGATCTTCCATGGCTAATAGTGCTATCAGGTAACAAAGTTAACTTCCATTTATAAAATAAGACTGTTTATAGGCCAGGTGAGGCAGACACAACACCTATTCCTAATTTCTTTCTTCTTTGCTTACCTCCCATTAGGCTGAAAAAGTGAAATACTTATTTTCCTGCCTTTCTTTGTAGTTAGGGCTGGCCATGTAATCCAGTTCTAGCCAATGAGATAAAGGGGAAGTATTCAGGGAAGCTTTTAAAGAAGAACCAGATGCAGTTTCTGTCAATCTTCTACCTTTTTCCTGCCTCAAACATAAATATCAGTATGATTCCTGGAGCAGAGACTGCCATTTTACAGTCATGAAGTAATGAATACAAGGACAAAAAGCCAACCCACTTATGGACAGCAGAACAGTATACAGTATTAGGTCTTTGAGGCATTTCTTTAAAACTAGAACATGATTTCCAGATTTGTCTGTGAGATAAATCGATACCTTTACTGCTTAAGTCACCATTCATGTGGTTTCCTATTGCAGCAAAACACCCAACAACAATATACTGGTATTTGCCATTGAGTATCTAAGGCTGTTCTCAGAATTTCATGTTGGAAATCAGTTGACAAAGTACTGAAATCTAATACGGTGTATGGGTCAATAAAGACAGTTCACAAGACAGAATATATGAGGGGTAGCCAATTGCCAGGCCAAATCCATCTAGCTGCCCGTTTTCCTAAATAAAGTTTTATTCAAACATGAACACACCCACTCCCTTATGTATTACCTATGCCCACAGTCATGCTACAGATCAAGAAGTGGTGTAAAAGACTTTATGGTTCACAGAACCTAAAATATTTACTGCCTGGTCCTTAACAGAAAACATATGCCAACCCATGCTGTAGGTAAATTCCTATCATGCTATTAAAAAGGTATGAACATTTGATAAGAAGAGTACACAAAGATGTGGTCTTACTTTTGAAAAAGATTTTTTGTACTAAGTTGTGGAACAGATGCCGAATGTGTTGACAGTACACAGAAAGAAGTGCAAGATGCCACAACCCTTCTTGCGAAACTTACCGGGAAGATAATAGTGCTCTCAGGTTAAAGTATAAAACACACAGAGTAGGTAAGAGTGTAGTTATGAAGAATCACCTTATGAAGAAAGTAAAGCTCCTAGGCTGAGTCTCAACCAGCCTACATTGTAATACTCAATGTAAGCATGTAAGCGACAAGAAGTAAAGAGGTGGGTGTCGGAACTTAGCAAGAGAATCGCCTGAAAGGAAGTATTACAGAGGCAAATTTGAGTCTCCTAAGAGAATTTCAAAGTGAGGATATTCTGGGCTACAAGTAAGAGGGAATCTACAGCCTATATGACAGATATTTCCATAAAATAAAGATAAATGATACCAGCCATTAAAGTAATACACCTAACTTCCTGTGCTCTCACTCCATGGTCACCAAGCAACATTCTGATTATTACATAGCTTTTCAGGCATATTTCCTACAAGAGATAATGTAATGTGGCTATGAAGAAAAATGAGAATTTGGTTTTTCGTTAACCTGGCTCTACTGGAGAGCAATGAACCCATCTCAAGATGCCAATGACACTTCTGAGTTTGCAAGCCAGAGCCCTAGATAGACCGTGGAATTCACCAAGGAAGCAGGGACTAATTTGCTTTCTCTAGAAGATAACTGCTCACACACTCAGCCAATTATTTTAAACTAGAACTGATATTCCTATTGAGCTAAAGCCTGATATTAAGTATATATTTTTCAGTTTAAGTCTGCTTTATAAAGTATTTTGAAAACGCATGAACTTAATGATTTGATTGCTATTAAAAGCTTATGGACATATCCTGAATCGCAACTTAAATGACTCTTCCAGATAAAAGATATATGGTACTTACATATACCCTTTATTAAATAAACAAAACAATCGAACAACTGCTTGTCTCCTTTTTAAGTACATTTTTATACTTACATCATATAAGTAAACAATTACATTTTTCTTTTAAAAGTTAGTTTTTACTGGATGCATTAACAAGATGCCCTCTGCGAAAATTACAGCTTTCCTTTAATGAAACTTATTTCAAGTTAAGTTAAACGAAGCCACACTAAAGGGAAACCTGTTGTCTTGTTCTGCACAATAATATGAGAATATTAATAATCTAATAGAATAAATATGCTTTCAATAATGAAACAAAAAAAGACAACTTCGCAGCAACTGGCTATTTTTATTGTCCTTTGAAGAATTCTCTCCCAAGCGACTGAAACAAAAAGTATCACACTGCAACAGACTTTAATTCCATCTTACCTGGTATCCACATTTCTAAAGAAGCTGCTTATTGCCTCATCATAAATTCCCTTCTAAAAAGAAAAACATACATTAACAGCATTTAGGTTCTGCTTCTTGCCCAAATCAAGTTCTTTCCATTTTGTTAATCTCATAATACTATAAGGGCGAGGATGACGCTCTGATAAGAAAAAGCAAGTATCACAAAATGCTGAGCCTCATTCTTTCCAATCTCCTTAGAAGAGTAAATGCCATGAGATCTACAGATAAAGTTCAGCATGGGGTGCTAAAGAAAGGATTCCACCTACAGGACTGTAGAACAGGTCCATCAAATGAGTGTTCTCTGGATTCTTGGTGATCTTTTTAAAAGCTGACTGGTTAAATTAAGGAATACAATAACCACACGTGTTATCTATTTTACAAAGTACTTTCCCATACGCAATCTCACTGGTCTGCCACGAACACTAATAAAGAGGAGATCCTGAGAATTGGAAAAAAATGTCAAGACTAAGGTCTTCGGTCAGTGTTCTTTTAGTTTATTGTGCCTGGCAGCAACATAGTTAAAAACCAGTATGTTCTTTACTGAGAACATCCCATGCAACTTAAATGGGTCGGATGAAAGCTCAAGTCGAGTATTCCCTGCGTGGGTGTTGGAAGACCTCGCTGACAGGAGAGAGGGGCTGGCGGCGGCAGGAGGGTACCTGGTTGACCGCAGCGTGCTCCCTTAGCGCCAGGTCCCAGAAGCAACAGCCGATCTGGTTTCCGCACTGGCCGACTACGACCAGAGAGGAAGGAAAGAGAATAGGACATTAGGCAGGAAAGAAGTCATTACGCGGCGACTCTCTACCCGTCCCGCGCTGCTCACCCTGTACGACCACTGACTGGGTCATTCTGGAGAGCGGCCAGCTCGCGGGGCTTGCGAGCCGGTACCGGCTTCCGCATTCCGCCCGCAACGGCTTTCTCCGAGGGGGCGGCCGTAAGTCACGCTGCTACCGCAAGACGCTGCTGTCGCTAAGCACGTCCCTAGTTTCAGACGAAGGTTTTCCGTCAGGAGGCCGCGCAAGTGCACTCGCGTCTCACCGTCACCATAGCGACTGGGCCACGGGAGGGCAGATCCTTGATGCTTTGTCAACATCTTTGAGAAACTACGGCCCCGGAGGCCGGGGTAACTGGCGGGTAACTAGGCTTTAGAGTGATATTTTAAAATATGTGTCTTTAAGCTGTTCGTAGATTATCAGAGGTTTAATTTTTGTTCACAGCGTCAGCACCCTGGGCGGTGTCTCAGTTCCGTTTATTCACATTCCACGAGACGCTGCCTAAGCATCTCTATCCAGCAAGCCCTTTGTTCTAATAGAAAATGAACAATGGCGTTGAGCAAAAAAGAAACCCCAGAGAAACAGACATGTCAGGGCAAAATTGAAACTAGATGGTTATACACTTTGACAAAAATGGCCAAACCAAGATCAGAGACCCAACCAGTATTTGTTGAACGCTCTATGTTCACCAAGTTAACTTGTAGGCTCTCTGGGAAGATTTAAAAGAAATTAAGACATGGATCCAGTTCCAAGAAGCTTACAATCTAATTGAAGACATACACGTGTAATACTCAAAGAATTGTGTGGCATTGACTATAAGTGCAGTAGAATTCAGTGGTTGAGGATGTAGATGAGTAAATAGAAGTCTGATGGAACAGATGGGTTTAACGCTAGGCATTTAGATGGGTATTTAGATGAGATCCAGGAGGAGAATATTAAAAAATTAGGCATTATGACAATTACCAACTCCGTAAAATTGTCAAACATTAAAATGCGTAAACTTTTATTGATAAAATTAGACGAGAATTTAATTAACAACTCAAGTACTTCTTTAATGAAAGTAACATTTTCCACAAAAATTCTGAAGAACTATGAAACCGTAAGAAGTCTTCTTTGTTTAGTAAAAAGTTATATGGTATGTGTTATGAATGTGTGCTAATATGAACTGTAATATTCAATTGATTAGGACACTTTATTGTCCCATTCGACACATAGCAATTATTATTTCATTTTTCTGGTAGCTGGTAGTTTAAAGCTGCAATGGATTTTATATCTTTTGGTAATAGGCAGCTTTTAATCAGTAAATTTTTGCAGGCTGGATTTATTCTTAACTGCTTGTTTAGCATAGGGTCAATGGTAGAGGTACAGTCGGGCACTTTGGGTCTTGATGCTAAAGTCCCAAAGTCTGGAGCTTACAAAATTTGCAAGTCTTGGTCCAGTTCATAGGCAGTGATGTGAATAGGTCTGTATCAGTCTGTTATCCTGGTCAGTCAGATGATATACTGGCCTCTGCAGAACACTACCCCTCATGCAGTCACAGTCATTATTCTCTAGAAGCCACACATAGAAAAGTCCTAACACGTCTCATTAATAACTTCAGTCTGTAGAGAATCAGACTGAGATACAGTTCTACTTAAGAGTCAAGCAAGGGAGAGCCTTACTTGCCAGCCACACCAAAACTTCCATACAGGCAAACCCAGATTAGCTAAGTTGAGATCATCTGAACTGCAGCGAGCTATTCAGAATCTTATAAGCAAGAGAATTGTTTTTTTGTTGAAGCCATTGAAGTTTTGGGGTGCAGTTTTATTGGAGCAATAACTGACTAACATACAGAGCAAATAGAGTGGCCAGAATTCCACATGCTGAAAATGAAAAAGAGATTTCTATAGAAAAATCAACACCAAGACATAAAACCTCATTCAATCATTCAGTTTTTCAGAATAAAGATAATTCTTTAGGTACCTAGGCATGAAATGAACAGGGGAGTGTGATGGAGAAAGAATAAGAAACATGCTGTTTTCCTCTGTTTGCCTCCTCCTCAACTGTGTCAGTGTTTTTGTCTTCCACCCATTTCCACCTAATTAATGCACACTTGTCTTTTAGATTTCGATTTTATATCCTAGACTAAAACAAATCCTATCCTAACCTATAAACTCCACTATAACAGGAACTGTGTTTGTTTTTGCTTAATCTTTTATCTTTAACACTTAACATATGCCTGGCTCATGTGGATTCTCAGCAAATATTTGTTAAATGAATGAATGAAGTCTATGGGTCTTTTTTTTCTTAGACTGTGGCAAGTTCAAGTATCACTCATTTTCTGCATCTCATGAATTAATATCTTGAGAGTTGAAAGATTATTGCTCTTGAGCTTATGATACTTAAGGGAGTATTTGGAGACTTCACTATCTTTTAATTCACCATTTGTACTGCTCTTATCTATCTATTGCTTTATGAAAATCTTCTGGAGACTCAAGTTCATTTTGTCTTCTGATGTATTATTCTAATGTCATAAAGTTTCATCGTTAAGGCTACTGTTTGGTTTGTTTCATTGTATCACCCATTCTAAGGAAGCATGGTATGCCAAATGGACTAGTTAAAATGGTAAATTAGAAGGTTTTAAGAATATCCCAGTTACAGATATTTTACTTTATATATATCAGTGACTAAAAAGTGAAATCAATGTCTCAACACTCTTGATTTCAGGAATGACACAAAAATATTTAGGAAGTAGTGCTGATTGAATTATTGTATCCCAGTCATTGGCTTTATATGTGTTATATATTTTTGTATTCCTCACAACAACTCTATAAGGTAGGAATTAATACCATTTTACAGACAAACTTTTAGTGATTAGCTCAAAATCTCAGCACTAACATTGTGTCAAAATTCAAATCTGACTGGGCACAGTGGCTCATGCTTGTAACCTCAGCACTTTGGGAAGGCAAGGTGGGTGGATTGCTTGAGCCCAGGAATTTGAGACCAGTCTGGGCAACATGGTAAAATTCTGTCTCTACAAAAAAATACAGAATCAGCTGGGCATGGTGGTGTGCACCTGTAGTCCCAGCTACTTGAGATGCTGAGGCAAGAGGCTTGCTTGAGCCCAGGAGGTTGAGGCTGCATGCAGTGAGCCATGATCATGCCACTGTACTCCAGCCTGGGTGACAGAGCACGAACCTGTCTCAAAAACAAGCAAGCAAACAAAAAACAACAACAAAAACCAATTTAAATCTAATCCTGATGCTACCATCACTTTTCCACTGCTACCTCCTCTTAAACATGTAAACTATCAAAATTTTTTGCCATCCTAAGGACCAAATGTTTAGGTCCTAAGACACATTAGCTAACAATGGCCAGCAGTTATTTGTTTGTGTGACTGTGATACTGTCAGTTAAATTATTTTTCTAAGCTAAAATGGTGATCAACTTACTCACAGATACTATCCTAGTAAGAAAAAGTAGAGGTAAGATCGTATTCAATATCAAGTTAATTCTTATGTAAAATGCCAGTTTTCTATAACTTGAGTCATATGAAAACACAACAGTGTTAGGTGGGGGGCTAGGGGAGGGATAGCATTAGGAGAAATACCTAATGTAGGTGATGGGATGATGGATGCAGCCAACCACCATGGAATGTGTATATCAAACCTGCATATTCTGCACATGAAACTTTAAGTTCAATAATGAAAAATAAATTAAAAAAAGAATTTATGTCATAAAAAAAAAATGCTCACTAGGGCCGGGTGCAGTGGCTTATGCTGGTAATCCCAGCACTTTGGGAGGCTGAGGTGGGTGGCTTGCCTGAGGTCAGGAGTTCAACCTGACCAACATGGAAAAACTCCGTCTCTACTAAAAGTACAAAAACTAGCCAGGTGTGGTGGTGTGTGCCTGTAATCCCATCTACTCGGAAGGCAGGATGCGCTGAGGCAGGAGAATCACTTCAACCTGGGAGGCAGAGGTTGCAGTGAGCCGAGATAGCACCACCGCACTCAAGCCTGGGTGACAGAGTGAGACTCTGCCTCAGAAAAAAACCTGCTCACTAACATTTAATAGTTTAGTCATCAGATACGAAAATTGAAAAACTGCTTAGCTGACACGTAATGTTCTGATGTAAGGGTTAAACTAAACATTACTGAGTAGAGCAGATGTTCATGAGGTAAGCTATTGATATAGAAGCCAAGAACGAGTTGGAAGAGGGAGAGCAGTTCAGAGAAATGCAAAGGTGGTACGAGCAGAGAAGCAGCCCAGGGCCCAGGGAACAGACTAATGAGGACAGTACAAGATGTATTCTTCCTTTCACAATTGTAATTATTCCTGCCATTTGTGAATTTGAAGACTCTCTTGAGGAAACAGTAAAAAACAAAACAGGTTAGTCCAGGCATTAGAGAGAGGGTGTAAAGAATCCCATGTAAGAGTTATAGAGAAATCTGTAAAGGTACAGTTTGAGTTTGAGGATTTTGGAGTGGGACGAGATGTAGATAGATTGGATTTATTTGTCATAATATAAGTGAAAGTCTAGGGGGGAGAGAATATGAGGAAAACAGGATCTAAAATGAGAAGAATCTCAACTCTGATTTTGTACAGATTAGACTGTAGGCCCTCATTCATGGATGAAAATACTAATAGGGAAATAAGGAATTGTAGGGAAGTAAGGAATAAGGCAGTAACAATAAGAATGAAACTCTCCAAAAGACTTTAAGAGAAAATTTTTAGTTATCCTCAGTTGGTTGTTGGAGCTATGCATTGAGATGTTTGATTCTTTAGCAGGTAGGAAACTATGTGAAAGAATCTTCCGATGTCATAATTTCCGGGTGTCACTGGAACATTTGATCATCATTCCTTTGGCAATTCCAGGCTTCTGTGGAAGGTCAGTAGAAGCATTGATTTATTCACCTCTGCAGGAATCAGACTGAGCCTATATTGGTAAGTCTATTTATCCTTGATCAAATAACAATGTTAACACCTGCAGAGATAATCACACTAAACCACAGTGTGGTTTTACTAAATCATCATTGAGAAAAACACTTTTTTTCTTTATAACTGACACAGTCTATAAAAGTTATCATATTTAAATTCTTAAACCTTAATTTAGTTTTATTGCCACCAATAAACATTTACATTTAGGCATAGAATACTGTACTAGGCATAAGAAATATTTGAGCCACTTT